AAACAATACTTAGATAAAACGAATCAAAGTTTAGGAGTGGGGGCTAAAACGTCATTTCTTAGTATAAAATGTACTGAGAAGTGACGTCACGCGACATTTCAAATCAATATATCTTCGAAACTATTCGTTTCTGTGAGAAAATAAAAAATACGTGTCTAATGTTTTTAAATAATCTATCAGACGGACATTAAAATAAAAATTAGTCGTCTACCCTCTTTCTGTCATGTACTACGCGCCCGCTGCGGTTGTAGGCCCGTCCCCCTTGTAGAATAATTTACGCGACGGCCTGGGCGTAAACCGCGTCGTGACATAACTATGCTTTAATTTTTACATACATATCTGTATCGAGGTGGGCGCGGGTGAAAATCGCTTCGTGAGTCCTTAGCTTAATACGGCTCAAGCCAGCCATCGCGAAGGACACACCGGGCGTCGGGGATCGCGGAATGATCTCCGGCCACCGTAAGCGCGGGCCTGCGGACGGCGAGCACGGGTGGCTCGCCGCCCGAACAGAACCAGACCCGAGCGTACGGCGCGTCGCGTTCCGCGCGCACCTCAAAGAGCCAGCAGACCACTACGGATAGGGCCCAATAGGCCTGAAGCCGATACGGAGTCGCGGAGAACCTATCAGGTTACCTGGCCTCCATCTTGAAGTGCAGGAGTAGGATCGGGGTGGTTTTTAGTCAGTAAGAGTCTGATACTCCCGCCGCCGTCATTCGATGATTTCCCCCTTAAAAAAAGCCTAATACGGCTGTGTCGACGCCTTCTCTGCATAAGAGGAGTGTACCATTATGCCCATAGTCTAGCTGTGGACTAGATATAAGGGACTGTTGATATTACGTGATATGAATTTTAAGTCATTTTATTAATATGTGTGATTTAGCAAAATATAAACCGTGCGAAATCAGGTTAAATGGCTTGTGTAATACGAGTAGCAAAATAATAAATTCTTCGCACATAATATTGTAATAGAGGAAACGGCGCTTTGCACTACGTGGAATTATTATTAAATCGGTGATTATCCTGTGGAGAGCTTGTATAATTTATCAGATTTATACTTAACTAAATCGTTTAGTTAGAAAAGTTATTATCTATAAATACATATTATCTATCGATATCTTTATATATATAATTCTGCTGTACGTGTGTATGTCATTGAACTGTTCCTAAACGGCTTGACCGATTTAAATGAATTTTTCTGTACGCGTTTGATTGACGCCCAGGATGGTTTAGATTCACAAATCAGCCCGGCAAATGGCGCTGTAGTCGGTGTCTAGGTTAGTTATCCTAAACGGCTAAACTAATTTGAATGAATTTTTGTTTATATATTCAAGTGGATATGCAGGACAACGTCTGTCAGGTTCGCTAGTATGTATATAAAAATGAAACCCGTTGCCCGTTGTCACGCCATGACTTGAGAATGGCTGGACCGATTTAACCGATTTTAAGATTTAGCGCAGAATACCTATTAACAATAACTAATTTAAAAACTACACATAAATAAAAAAGAAACTCACCGCTACTAGATTTAACAACACTGCTTCTATAGTCCTTTTCATATTTGTTTTCAGATTGCGGACTCTTGAAATTGGTCCTAAAGAAGTTCTCCGAGGAAGCCACAATTTGCGTCTGAGGACCAACGGACACTAGACACTCTCGTTCTTCGTCCTTACTCTTGAAATTGCCTATAAACTTGCTAATGAACCCAGGAGAAGTAACTTCCCTCTCCGCTCCCTCCTTATAAGTACTTCGGAGGACATCATGGGATTTCAAAGCATTTTTCAGCTCGGAGACAACTTTAGAGTGCGATAACGCTAGCTCGGACATAATCGGAGGTGGTGACGTAGGTTTCACATCCTTCGGAGCCCTACATTCGCTTAAAATACAAAGATTTAATTGGCTCTTCGTTTGATAAAGGAATGGACTGCTATGTTCATCTCTATATGAAGCATGTTCGTCTTGAATAAGTTTTTGCCCGTGTTCACGACCGAAGAATGACATTAGGTCGTCTTTGCGGACCGGTGGGTCATTTATGTCAAAGTCTAGGGTATCTAGGAGAGCGTACTTCAGACTTATGTCCGGTTTTATTAGAGATTCGTTTATTATTTCAGTCTGAAACAAAGAAGAAGACATTTATAATTAAATAGTAGTAGATTAAAGTTGATTAAATAATTAACTATCAAGATATTCTACATTTTTTTATGGGATAAGCGTGTATTGGCATCGCCCATGGACAATTGGAACACCAGAGGCGTTACAAGTGCGTTACCGGCTTTTTGGTGATTAGGAATTTGAGGATTGTAGGGGATTCGGGGATTTAGGGAGATTAGGAGGGGAGATATAACCTCACTCACACGACGAAACACAACGCATTGTTTCATGTCGGTTTTCTGCTCGGCCGTGGTATCACTCCGGTCGAGCCGGCTCATTCGTGCCGAAGCATGGCTCTTCCTCACTTACTTACATAATATACACTCAAATATTAACGATGATCAATGCTCTCTTGGTATCCGCACCAGAGTGTGATTTGTTCGCAGCGAGATGGAAGGATGTATGTCATGAATGTGTAAGATTTTGTGAGATGGACGGATGATGAATTAGTTTTAAGTAATTATAATTATTGTACTGTTTATATAAGATACCTATTACATAAGTGTAAGTAGTAAATAAGTAATTTTATATGTTTAACTGTATAATGTCTTGGCTTGTGTTGTAAAATTATGCATGTGCTTATAAATAAAAATAAATAAATGAAGTTATTTAGTATTGGTATGTAGTTTAGTAAATAAAGATTCAGTTCAGAGAGCTATGATTGCCATACTAGTGTATACTTTCTAAGTTTCTAACTAAGTCGAAATTTTGTAACAACTAGTCGGTGCAGTAGCGAACCAATAATATTAATTCAAATTATTCGACAAACTATACAAGACTATCACAGAAACAACGCATAGTTGATATTTTGTTATACTTCTTCTCTGGACATAGATAATTTTTTCCAACACTAGAAAATTTAAATAAATAATTTTGAACAATTCTTTTTACCAAGAAATAACTTTGAACATTTGACAATTCTTCCATACTAAAAATCTGTTGAATGTCAATTTTATTCTACAGTTAAGAATTAACTAATGATTGAAAAACCGGCCCGTAATAATCAATACATCATTGCTTTTAAAAAAATATAAATACAATTGTTACATTTGAATTGAGAATCAATTATGGATCCCTGTTGGGCACAGCATATTTTTATGAAACAGAAGGCAGAATGTTCAAAGGCATTGATAATAATTTCTATCTTACCAATTCCAAGTTTAACAATTTATTCAAAGTTTATGAGGAAATATTTTTGATGCCTTTAGGTAACATTTTTATTTTTTTAAGGTGTAAATAGTTTAGTTTTTAGTAATTTGTAATTATAATAGTAATAGTTCCATGGAAAGAATAATTCAAAGCAAAGCATTTATAACAATATTAATCCTTAATTAGACACTTTTGAAAATGAAAAGCTTCACTGTCAAAAAAGCTAGGTGCTCGTTCTAAAGTGTAGCTTTGAATGGAGAAGAATGATATTGAAACTTAATCATTACTCTTTAAAAAAATTAATACCATACTGGTCTCATTAAATTCCAACATTGTAGGATAATTATAATTAGTTTTATATAATATATTTATATTTATAGTATGCTGTAGGAAAATTAACATAAAACTGATTAAAAACTATAAATACAGAAATAAATAAAGTTTTAGTGCATGCTGCCACAAATATTTTAACAAATAGATACTATAATAATTTATCAATGATAATCAATCATTATTATTTTATAGACTAAGTATTAATCGTTCGGCAATAATTAAAGCATAATTAAATAAAAAGAACAAATGATTTTATTTATGTTTTAACAGTTCGAAATCTAAATTAACGAATCATAATTATTTTCACTTAAACACACACGCAAAGAGTTTCACTTAATCTATTAAATAATGACCAGAGGACGATATTAATGAACAAACAGGGCTATTATACTCGACGCATCGCACGAAATGAGAATGAATCACTCAATACCTATCTGTACATCTAATTTTAAAATGCACTATTTATCCTAATGTTCCGCACTTATTACTCAACTAAACTGTTTATTATGAAGTCATTGAAGTGTTAAGGAAGTATTAAAATTACCTTTTCTTTTTCCGTTAGCGTTTCCCATATATTTTCGTAAGAATTCTTTGCATCAACTATATCTTCGTGGATTTTCGAAGCTATAGGATTCATGGACCGAAAATATTCTTCAGCGTACGCCCCCAACGCCATGGTCACTGATTTTAATAAAATAATACACTTATTCTGTTTAAAATTGTGCTATTTTTTATTGTTTATTGAGATTCGATAAACACAACCATCGCCGTACTATGACCGGAAATAAATAATGAATGAATGAGCGAGACAGGGTGTAATGTAAAAAGTTACGTCATTGATTCAAAATGACAGGTACGATTCAATCAATGCAGCAAATCACACTTTATGCTGAAAAGTATAAAGTACAAAACGGCGTAGCATGAAGGAAATTAGTACTGATATATGAAAAACAATTTTATTCACCTCTTCCTCTAAGTTGAAATTCTAATAAAGTAGAATTATTTTGACAGCGATTATCTTTGTTATCTTTTCCACAGAATATACCAAAACCGTAATTGTAATCATTTTTTAACATTGTCGTAAGATATTTATGTTTCAATTACAAAGCTATGAATTTGAAACAAACATTTAAAAAATTAAAAAGTAACGAATAGCATAAAGTTTATAAAATAATTAAAAATTACGGTTTTTACCAAAGTGTTGCCATAGCAGTACGTTGCCAAATAATATCGAAATATCGGTAAATGGGTGGACATCGAAATGTCAAAAAGACAAAATGGCTATCATTAGCTTTATTTGTTTAGTGTTTTTGACTATAAAATGTAACGGTAAAACGTGAAAGTGAACAAATTTTTATATAACAGCAATCATGTTGCACAACACTGGGCCTTACGGGCCTAACGAGACGCCGGTAAATATGGGAGCACCCGTGAATATGACTCCAATGAGTGGTCATATGAATCTCGCTCATAACATAAATAATTTAAGTAAAATGTCTCACCACGCAGGCCAGGGGCCTAGCGGGCACTTCAATCTACCAGAATATGCACATTACAACCAATCTACGCTTGGTATGCCGCCCCAAATGGGTCAGTTTCCCAACTACCAGCAATTGGGGTTCCAGCATTCATATATGAATCAAAGTGCGCCTTCTGTCAACGATTTACCTTTTCCAAACGGTATGTTTCCTATGAACTTTAATATACAGAACGAGCATAGTGCTAACATGATGAATTACGCTTACGAGAAGCGAGCGAGTGAAACAATGAGGCAGGACAGCTATAAAGAACATAATATGCGCAAAATGCCCCTAAACATACCTCAGATACCAAATAAATCTTATGCCAGGCACAGCATCCCTGATGATGATTACGGACTTCACAATACTTACCATGATGTACACCACAACTTAGATCTAAGCTTAAAAACACAAGAAAAAATACAATTGGATAGTACGAGGAAGAAAAACATAGAAAACACTGTTAGATTAATTGAAAACATTCTTATTAATTCATCGAATAAACCCAAAGAATTGCCGAGTCCTCCGAGCAGACCGACCAGCACTAGAATGGAGTTACCGCAACAAACGGTAATAGAGAAAGCACCAAAAAGTAATAAACCTGCGACAGAAATGCACAGCCACACGGCTTTACAAAAACAAGCAGATCCGTTACAGGTGACACCTGCAGATTTCTCTAAAACTAAACCAAATAAAACTGTTGAAGTTCCGATTGAAGTTAACGATGACAGTCAAGATAACGAATTGTCTGAGAACGAACCACAATCTGATGAAGAGGACATAAAACCCATAGCTATAACGCAACACTTCATAACGGAAGATGCGGAAGTGAATACAGACAATAGTATCGTTATTAAAGTTGAAAAAGATAGTTGGGCGGACTCTGAGTGTTTTACTCCATTCTTGAAGGATGTGAATGGCTTCCAGAAGGATGATAATATGAATTACAGGATTATTGAAGCGGAAACTAGCGTTGCTGAGGCCATTGCGGTTTATAAGAATGGTAAATACTTATCTTATACTATATTATTATATATATAAAGCTTTTAATTTCATATATATATTTGTATTGCAATCTATCATGTAGATATTCAGCAATATTTTTGTAATTGTATGTTATTCAGTGGTTTGTTTTGTTATATAAGTAAAGCTGAAGAATTTTTTTGTTTGTTTCAACACGCTAATCTCAGGAACTAGAGGTCCAATTTGAAAAAATAATTTTATTTTGGATATGTTTTTATAATAACTATCGTGAGACATACTAAATTAAGTAAAATCACTGGTTACTCACATGAATATACTGAGAAAAGCTCTACTAGTTTCGCGGTCGCGGCGACGTCGCGCACGCTGCTCATGAGGGAGAACCCCTCTGTGGTTCGAAACTAGTAGAGCTTTTCTCAGTATATTCAAGTGAGTAACCCGTGATTTTACTTAATTTATTTTGGATAGTCCACTTATCGTGGAAGGGCCGAGTGTAGGCTAGAATAAATCACACTACAGCGCCGAGCAGAGTGGGTTTAACCGCGCCAAAGTAGCTAGTTACAATATAGTTATAACAACTATTTATTATTATTTATTTATTTGAAGACAACAACTGTTTAGAGCGTTATTTATTGATTTCGTCGAAAACCGTTAAAAAAGTTTTATTTTGCCTTATGCTGATGGCAGAGTATGCATATATGTCGCGGAGAACCTAACGGGTTACCGGGGCTCCGGCTCGACGTGCAGGAGAACGAACGGGGTGGTTTTTAGTCAGTTAGAGTCTGACACTCCCTTCCACCTCACTCAGGCGGGAGCAGTCATTCGATGATTTTCCCCAATGATATTATAAAGAAGATACGCTACGTTCATACTAAGCGGCGTCCAAAAATTGTTGCGTTCTTATTACAAATGTACTTAAATGTCATTTTCAACTACGTGCGACAGATAATACGGAAAGTATGGTACAGAAAGAGATAGCTATTATAAAATTACGACAATTGTCTGAATTCGTTCGCAACAATTTTTGCGTGCCAGTGCGATATCTACCTCTTTTTATTATTTATAATATCATTGATTTTCCCCCCTTAAAAAAAAAGAGTAATAATATATTTGTCCAGTAGGTAGTTGAAGCTAGTTGTTTTGTTAGAAAATAAATATCTTAAGAACCATCTAAATCTGATTCCCTGAATCTAACAATCCTCAAATTCCTAATCCCCAAACCAGTAACGCACTTGTGACGCCTCTGGTGTTCCGAGTATCCATGGGCAAAGCAGATAGCTTACCATCAGGTGATACGTCCGATTTACCGGCTTATTCCATCAAAGAATCATATCAATACTTTTTACATAATTCCAGGCATAAAACACGAAGGTGTGTTCGAGTGCCCGCATTGCTCACTTCTCTTCAAACACCCGAAGCGCTTCATAATCCACCATAACTGGCATACGTTCGGACTAACAAATATAAGAAGAATAGAAATAGCCAAAGTGAAAGAACAAAGGAGGTTTGAGAGGAAAGAGGCTCGTGTTATTGAGAGGATGAACTCGAAAGAGGTTACGGAGGAAACCAGTGTTGATGGCAAAGTGTTTCCTTGTAAGGATTGTGATAAGGTGTTCAGTGCCAAGGGGAGCTTGAAAAATCATCGGCAACGGTGAGTTGGGCTTATATTTTAGATAACATGGTCATGATATTGAAGGGTTTATATAAGCTGGGTGTCTTCAAGGCCAGTGCACGCAATCAATAGGTTGCTTATGGACAGGCGTGCTCCATCGTGGGCCGCATCATCGGTTTCCACCAGGCGAGATAATGGCTAAACGTCGACCATTTCTAATCCTTACTTAACCTGTCAAACACCAAGCGGTCACCGATGACCGCAACCTATTGTTCTTTAATTGTGTCTATAAATACGATACTCGACGAGTTAATATTAGTTAATACTAGCTTTTACCCGCGGCTTCGCACGCTTGTTTGTTCCGCTTTCATGCCGTAACTACTAAACCGATTGCTTTGAAATTTTGCAGACGGAAAAATGTGATATTCCCGAGGGAAAACAAAAGCATTGGTATAGATGGCGCTGTGTGTATATATGGCACATAGGCTACTTTTTATCCTTTTGTGAAACAAGCGAAGCCGCGGGTAATAGCTAGTACAAAAAATATAAAGAAAAGTTCCATGTGATTAACGAACAAGTGCCTCATTACCCAGCAGGTGGTTGCCAATGCCAAGCCACTGCGTAAACAGTGCAGTCGCTAGTCACTTGTGTGATTGGTCAAAAGTGACTGTCTCTTTAGTGAAGTGGTCGTAAAAGCGACCGTTGAAGTGGGGATCTCGAAACTCCTGCCTCATCAACAGCCTACAAATTCCCACTGCTCACCAAAGCCTTTTCTCACCCGGAGAAGGTTTGAGCATTAATCACCACGCTTGCTCAATGTGGGTTGTTGATTTGAAACTTATAATTAGAAATTATAAGCCTAGGTTTCTAATTGGATTTATAATTTTCTTATTATACGTTTGAAATTGCCAACCCTCATTGAGCAAGCGTGGTAATTAATACTCAAACCTCCGTGTGAGAAGAGGCCTTTGGTCAGCAGTAGGCACTTATAGGCTGTTGATAATGATCATCGTTAGTTTTTTCAGTTATTCTTAAAGAGTTGCTTTAACTTTCAGAACACATCCTACCCGCATAAGAGAGTGCAGAATATGCCACAAGCCCATATCAAGCTGGATGGCACTCCGGGCACACATGGTGACTCACTCCGCAGACTCCGGGCTTGGGTTCCAGTGTGCAGAGTGCCCCAAGAGGTTCAAGTACTCCCACTCTCTCGCCAAGCACTCTGATACACATTTGGTAAGTTTAAATTATTATATTTTCGGTTTACTCACGTAATTATTTGACGAGGAACTCGACTAGTTTCAAGCCATGCTAGAGGCTCTGGCTATGGCGCGGCGACTGTCGCGCTGCTACTGATGTCGCCGCGTCGCGGGTCGCGAAATGCTGCTCATGAATACGAGCCTCTAGCATGGCTTGAAATTAGTCGAGTTCCTCGTCAAATAATTACGTGAGTAAGCTGAAAATATAATAGTTAATTTAGTATTGCCGGAATACTGAAATCTTACTCAATTTTAAGTCGTGCTTAAATGTCGTGCCATCTCTGTCATTTTACAAAGAATTTGTAGAGACAGAACTATACTTAAGCACGACTTAAAATTGAGTAGCCTTTGAGTATTCCGACATGAGTCTCACGAAAGTTACAATGCAAATATGTAACTTTTGTGTGAAAAATCACTTTGGTCTTTGGTTTAACAATATGGCAACCACTATTTTATTTTATATTTTTGTGAATAGGAAAAGACTCACGCCTGCACGGAATGTCCCAAAAAGTTCGGCTCCCAAGCGCTCCTGAAGATGCACATGAAGACTCACGAGCGAGTGCTGCGCGGAGCCACGTTCAGGTGTACTTACTGCGGCAAGGGATTCTTCGAGTCTTATAGTTTGCAGGTAATAATATTATTGCTGAGTGTGTACTAGCCTTTACAGTTAATTTTAATTTATTTTTTATAAAGAACCTCTTACAGACAATAACAAAAACAACAAAAAAAAAGGATTCTGTCTACCGGTAGTTTTTTTATGGCATAAGCCGGTAAACGAGCCGACGGATTACTTGATGGTAAGCAAGCAATCGGCGCCGCCCATGGACACCTGACACACCAGAGGCGTTACAAGTGCGTTACCGGCGTTTTGGTTGATTCAGGAATTGGGGAGATTGGGGAAGGGGAGGGTAATTGTGCCTCCGGTAACCTCACTCACACGACGAAACACAACGCAATCGTTGGTTCACGTCGGTTTTCTGTGAGGCCGTGGTATCACTCTGGTCGAGCCATCCATCCATTCGTGCCGAAGCATGGCTCTCCCACACTTACACGCCTAATGGCATGACTTCGGATTGTATCTACTCCATTCTCAAATCATGTCTTTATTCGAAAGATAATTTAACATTCATGTAATCATCAGAATTGGGTACTTTCCTTAATCAAAAATACAATTATTTCGACTGTTCAATACGATAAAATATTAAAAAAATATCACACTTTCATTAATTGATTGTATGACTAGTTGGTCATACTAAAATTAAGTTTCAGCAAATTCTTAAGTAATAAGTATGCTGTTTGACGCTCAAAAAACATGACGTCACAATACACAATCTCGTACAAAATTCATTAAAAACTGTCGTTTTTGACAGTTCGCTAGTAGGCTGTAGGAACCCCTCTGTGGTTCGAAACTAGTAGAGTTTTTCTCCGTATATTCACGTGAGTAACCTTCGATTTTTAGTTAATTCAGTATGTCTCACGATAGTTATTATAAAAACATGTTTGACAATAGCTATATAATTTCCAGGTGCACGAGAGAACACATAGGAACGAGCGCCCGTTCACATGTGACATATGCAACACGAGCTTCGGAACTAATTCCAGCCTGAAGAGACATGTTAAAGTGGTGAGTTATTTATTGTTGATACCATAATATTATCATATTTATGACGTTATGGCGCATCCACACATGCCCCCGGCTTATGCCGCCGGGTTTCAGACCGCCTTGCCGCTAAATGCAGGCCGCCGGCTTTACCGGCGGTTGCCGGCGGCCTGCAGATGCCTGCAGATCCCTAATAGCATCATTTCTATTGTTGCGATTCTTGAAATCCATATGCCTTGGGTTCCACAATGGTTCATTTTCTTGATACTTTTCTATTAATAAAAGATCTGCACTATCATCCCAGTTAAATTCTGTCATTTCGTTATTTACTTCTATGAAATTATACGACAACACTACCACTTCGTATCGAAGCCGCAAGCAAACTGCTGCCGGCAACCAAAAGCCGCGCGTGCCGCGGCTTAGATGCGGCAAATGCGTGGGATGCGCCATTACAAGTATTAGCTTGACAATGAAATTACTCGAAGTTTAGGCAGACGTGAAGAAATAGGTACTATAGAAGTGTTAGTTCCCATGTTGACAACTTAATATATTTATATGTGTATGTATATGTATGTATATATGTTATATTATGTTATATATTTTCCTTCGTATATTTAGGTATATATATGTCCATATATATTTTTTATTTTTTTTCAAAACAAAATAGTTTATTGTGTCAATAAGTACATTACATGTTAACGTGTTTGGAGCCCCCTTTTAAGCAAACAATGCCTGTATTAGGAGGCTCCGCAAAAATATATATGTCCATACTTATTTGTCTACTGTTCGTTTTGCATTACGGATATATTTTAATACTTCTTCATTATATTTAATAAGTATATTATATTCTGTGATGTGTATAATTATATATGATGTTAATGTTAACTTTGATCTTAATGTTAATTATATGTAATACTTGTCAATGTATGATCAAAACTCACAAGTGGTAAACGTTTACACCTACTATTGTGTCTCTCTGCATCACCCTAAGGTTGACTGTTAGAGAATGCCACTAGGCATTAAGTCCGCCTTTGTATACCTACATGAAGTGTAAATAAATAAATAAAATAAATAATAGTACTTGGCAACTTAACTGCCTCGTTGGCCGAGTGGTCGCAAGTGCGACTGCCGGAGTGTCCCCTTGCCAGGTAGAGGCAGTAATACCATACCATATATTACCATAATACAATCAAAATTAAACCTTAATATCTTTGCAATAAACAACAAAATTCTTCAACAGTCTCACAACACATCGAAGCCGTATCAATGTTCAGTATGCCATCGCAACTTCATCACGGAGTCCATCAGGGACCGGCATGAGCAGCGTCTCCATGGCAACCCTGAGGACTTCAAGTTTCCATGCAAACTGTGCTCTTCCAAGTAAGTACTTTATATTTGTAACATGCTGAAACAGTGTAGACTCCGTTTACAGGAAATTAAAATGCACTGCTTACAATGTTAGGTAGCTATGGATGGTACCTAAAGCGGTATAGCAATATAGCAGCGGTAAAAAATAAAATTCCAAGCGACTAGCGACAGAATGTATTGCAGGTAACTAGTACAAAAGATAATTAATTTTACTACAGAAGGTGCAGGTATTTATATCATAAAAGTTAAAACTAATTAATAATAATAAAGGTTCGCGCTTGACCATTTCGTGATTTAGTTGACGCCTCTTTATGTGCGAGTTTACTTGCCTACTCGCTACAATGCTATGGTCTTCTAGCGTCTTCGCCCGCGTTCCCTTGGGATTTAAAGTAGCTTATGTACAGGGCACAGGGTGTCCCTGAAGTCGACGATCAAATGGCACCAGATGATCGGCAAGGTTCTTATAGTTATCAGAAAATATTTAAAAAAATCCAAGTCAGATAGTTTTTTAGTTACAGTTACTTATGTGTTACCCACGAAAAAGTACACCCTGTGCCAGTCTTTTTGTTTAACAGTTTGACGCTTGTTGCTTTAATTCTGTATTTTTGCATACGTTACATTTGCTATACCATTTCTTTTCTAATTACCCATATTCTGACAGTTTGAGTATTTGTGCGACCCACGCAAATGTTCTTTAGGTTGGTATTGTTCGTCGAATCAGTCAGCCTCACCTGTTAATTGAGCCGACTGTAAACCGACACATGCGTACTGCCTTCAGAACGGGTCCGCTCAAACTGTTGTGGTTCTTTCCTCAAAAGGCCACTACAGAAAGAACTTGCACGGTTCTCACACATAATCTATTATACATATTGTCTGGACTTTAAAAGAGACAGACCTCTGAGTTTGTTTCGGCATTTCTTCTCAGAGTAGTCAGTTAGGAAATGTCGACCTCATCGTTCGCTTGATAAAATTGACGTGTAAAAGTGCTGCCTTGTAGCCTATTTGCAGAAATAAATTCACTTGTTTCACTTGTATATATCCGACTGCATAATGTAAGATTCACTTTTTACCAGTTCTTGTGATGAGTCCCATGTAATAGGGGGTGAGTCTATTGCCCACGGACCGGAAGACGAAGCATGGGCAGGCCTCCTGGTAAGTGAGCCGACGACATAAGAGTTACGGGGAGCCAATGGATGCACGTGGCAAGTTGTCGTTCGACGTGGAGGACTAAGGAAGTCGCCTATGTCCAGCAGTAGGCGTCTTCTAGCTGTTGATGATGATGTATTGCCTTATATCGGGGATAATTCCAGGGTATATACTGAGAAATATAGAAAACCCAGTGATATTTTGCCCGAACTAGGAATAAAACCCCTTACTCAGCAGCGATAACGTAACATAACATCACACCTTTTTATCTCCAAAAGGGTAGGCAGAGGTGTACATTATGCTACTGTACAATGTAACACCCACTTTTCACTATTTATGTTATGAGTCCCATGTAATAGGGGGTGAGCCTATTACCATATACCGGGCACAATTCCAAACTCCGTGCTAGTACTGTGATTTTTTTTTAAATCCAGTAATACTTTGCCCGACCCGGGAATCGATCCCGAGACCTCTTGCCCGGCAGTCGCCCTTGCGACCATTCGGCCAATGAGGCAGTCAAGCAGCGAATGGCACTAAAAACCAACAAAACAGTCAAAAATTTAATCAACCTAATGAAATCAGAATTTTCATACATTTTTAACATAAACATATTTATTTTCACTGCCTCATTGGCCAAGTGGTCGCAAGGGCGACTGCCGGGTAAGGGGTCTCGGGTTCGATTCCCGGGTCGGGCAAAGTATTACTGGGTTTGTAAAAACCTCAGTAGTAGCACGGAGTCTGGAAATGTGCCCGGTATATGGCAATAGGCTCACCCCCTATTACATGGGACTCATAACATAAATAGTGAAAAGTGGGTGTTACATTGTACAGTGGCATTAAGTGGTATAATGTGCACCTCTGCCTACCCCCCTCGGGGATAAAAGGCGTGATGTTATGTATGTATATTTCTTTTCAGATACCTGAAAATGAAAGATCTTCAGAAACACGTTTACAAGATGCATCCGAAGAGCAAACGAAAGAAAAAGGACGATAAAGAAAGCGATTCCGAATAGTTACCTTTATAACTAGAGGAATAAGGTACGAAATTGTTTGAATCATATCTCTTTGTACTCCTATAGTTGTCTTTATTACTAAAATTAATATTATTATGACGTCATAATGCCCCTTGAAGGGGACTTGTACTAATTTTCATATAATTATAGTTTACATATAATTTCATTTCACATGATTTGTCTAGACATACCTAATGAATTGCCAAGTAATTGGGTAGTTTCCAGGGTATCAAAATTAAAAATCTAATTAGTCCGTCAGTTAGATAATGAAAAAATATTAGACACGTATTTTTTAATTTTCTCGTATTAAGTTGCAATACTTAGATAAAATGGCGGTAAGTTTACGAGTGGGAGGTCGTTACGTCATAACGTGCTACAAAATGTGACACGCTGTGACGTCACACGATATTTCAAATCAATATATCGTCGGAAGTATTTAATTTTTTGAGAAAAGAAAAAATACGTGTCTAAAGTTTTAAATTAATGTACCAGACGGACATTGAAATAAAATTTAGGAAACTACCATATTTAGTAAGCTGGTAATAACATAAAGATTGATTCAGTACAGAGACAGTAGCTATTACACATAACATCACGCCTTTTTATCCCCGAAGGGGTAGGCAGAGGTGCACGTTTCGGCACTTAATGCCACTGTACAATGTAACACCCACTTTTCACTATTTATGAGTCCCATGTAATATGGGGCCTATTGCCATATACCGGGCACATTTCCAAACTCGGTGCTAATACTGAGATTTTTAAAAACCCAGTAATACTTTGCCCGACCCGGGAATCGAACCCGAAACCCCTTGCCCGGCAGTCGCACTTGTGACCACTCGGCCAACGAGGCAGTAGTTATTGTTATACTATATTGTACGCTTTGTAACGAAGCCATGTCTTCTGTAACTCAGTCGGCTCTAGACAACCAATGGCTACTGTCTCTGTACTGAATACATCTTTGTTTTCTTACATACATACTATAAACTTGTTTAATCTGCACTTTATTTCTAAAGTCTTAAAGTCTATTTTGCATTGTTTTCATAGAAATCTAAAAGGTGTTTATCTGTTAAAAGACAATGTTTAGTTTTGAGCGTTTATTTATACATAATAAGCATGTTTATAATGTTCCATAAGAGAATTATGGATTTTTAACCATATTGATATTAATTGGGTATTTTTCTCAGTCAAAATTTGAATGCTTTCTACTTTTTAACACATTAAACGCCATGGGGGTCACCGGTGACCGGCGTTAGCGGAGGATTTACCTTCAACAGTTTTTTATTGGCAGTCAAAGTCTTAATGACTATAGAATGTTAATTATTATGTTGTGCGGCTTACTTACGTAACAAAACAAACAAACAAGTTTCAAGCCATGCTAGAAACTAGTCGAGACGCGACGTGGCAACTGTCGCGCTGCTACTGAAAAGTCGACGCATCACGGGTCGCGGTATGCTGCTCATGAATATGAGCCTCTAGCATGGCTTGAAACTAGTCGAGTTCCTCGTCAAATTATTACGTGAGTAAGCCGAGAAACATTATAATAAATTTTGTATGTCTCACGAAAATAAATATTATAAAATGTTTACTAATGTGAATATACTGAGAAAAGCTCTACTAGTTTCGACCCATCGAGGGGTTCTTACTTATGAGCTGCGTGCGCGGTCGCGGCGATGTCGCGCAGCCTAGGCACTAGCGTCGGCGCTTGCGTTGCCGCCACCGAGGAAGAGCCCCTCTGTGGTTCGAAACTAGTAGAGCTTTTCTCAGTATATTCACGTGAGTAACCCGCGATCCTAAGTGAATTTTGTATGTCTCACGATAGTTATATAAAAACACTATAAAATGTTCTGAAACAATCACTTTCTACGATCGCCTTCAAACCAAAAAGGGCGTACTCAACGCTTTTGTTTTTCAGTATTGTGGGGTCACCCATCTTTTACCAAGAGAAGATCTCTGTCTACTCTTTGGCTTCCTTTTCTATAAAAACACGGAACTTTCCTATTTTGGTAACAAATGTCTAAGAAATAAATATGCGTCTCCAACCGGTCCACGGTGACCGCTTTCCGCTTACTCCATTATAGTCCTTATTTCCGGTGTTAAGAGACTACTATTGTTTTTCGTAATCGTGGATTTTTTGACGCCAAAAATTTCATAATCTCATACAAAATTCGTAGCAAAAGCACAGTTTTATTTTGTTGTGTTTTGGAAATAAGTATTGAATTTGACTAGTAGAAAAATAACCAATTGTTTCAAAAGATTATCTTGGCTTAAATGTGTTTTAAATACACAGTTAGGCAAATATCATGAAGGTACAAGAGGGTAAAAAGAGATAGTCTTTAAAATTCAGTTGCAGAATTACACTTCACAAATATACATTGCAAGAAAAATATGCTTGGAACAAAATATTCTTATTTCTAACTGCAGCGTGAAACAACGCTGGCGTTTTGTTTCAACGTATGTTTTTTTAACGTTGCCCCACACTAGGATTATCTCCTGTGTCGTGGGTGCGTTTACAAACATACAAGTTCACATACACATGACACCCAGACCCGGAACAACAATTTGTGGATCACACAAAGGGTTGTTCCGTGCGGGAATCGAACCCGCGACACGTTGCACGGCAGCCGGGTACCCAGCCACCGCACCAACCGTGCAGGCAAACCGTGTTACTGAAGTTACCGAAGGCAGAACTCCAAAAGGTTGGTAACGCACTTCTGGTTTTGTGAGCAAGCAAGCCTGCCACATTCTCCCAAACCGCTGCAACTCCTGTAAGCCAGGATCTACAGAAGACACAACCATGCAAACACCGGAACACTAAAGTCCAACGTCCCAGGGACATGAATAACTGTCTTGGTTCCCGCAACGAAATAAATCAGAAGATATTATTAGAGAAGAAAAAAACTCTACTATGAGTTTTTTTCGCACTTCAACCTCTCCTTTTCTTGAAGTCGGTTAATTAATATACTAAAACCTATGTTTCGTCTAGTGAGTGAGGTTACCGGAGGCCCAATTAACCTCCCCTTCCCCAATCTCCCCAATTCCTGAATCCCCAACGATCCTCAAACTCCTAATCCCCAAAGGCCGGTAACGCCTCTGGTGTTCCAGGTGTCCATGGGCGACGCCGATTGCTTACCATCAGGTGATCCGTCAGCTCGTTTACCGGCTTATACCATAAAAAACCCGCATCAAAATCGGTACAGCCAAATGCGAGATGAACACGCACAAACCTACATACATACCTGATTTTTTGTTTTTGAAGTGTCGGCTAAAAACTTAATATTACTTCGCCCGACTCCGAGAATTGAAGATTCATACATTAAATGATAAAGTTTTCTTTACCCTCTTATACGTCATGGTCAAAAAACCAAAAATTGATATTTTCGTGTCAATCGTTTGACTCAGATTTCGGCCTATACAATAGTATTAAATTCATTCGAATATAGCATAGAATAATTAATATAAAATAAAAATTGATAAGTTTAAAAAATTGTTGTTAAAATATAAATTAAATTGTAAATATTTTCGTGTATTCGTTCTTAAGGTTAAAAAATTTAATGAAACTAGGACTTTAAATGTATAAATTAAATTTATATGTACACCTAGGTAATATGTATACATAATATATTATTGTATGTATAGATTATTTTTCTTAAGCCGTGGTTTCCTAAGGTTTAAAACAAGCCTTTATTTTTCTTATTTTTTCTTACTACTTCAGTAATTTGGTAATGCAATGAAATGTTATCCGACAGTTTTGATAATCGACAATTTTATAGATTTTAATGTGCTCATTACGATTTTTATTTTGCACCTTTGTACAGTACGGTTCATGAGTTATGACGGGTGTGAAGTTAGTCACAAGTCACTTTCGCGCATGTATATTCGCAAATAAATTGATTAAATAATAAAATGATTGTGTTTAAACTGTCAAACACCGCGAGGACACCGGTGATCGCAACCTATTGTTCTTTAATTGTGTCTATAATGACGGTACTCAAAGGGTTAATTAGAGGCAATCCCTAGCATATTCCTGTCCCGCACACGTCGCCGTTTGGTTCCTAAAATACGTTATTGCGCAGTTTTCTGCGCGAACTTCACACCCGTCATAACTCGTGAACCGTACTGTACGTGCGCTGCTCGCGCCGCCATCTTAGAAAAATGGTGTCCAAAAATAGCTTTCCCTAAATACTCAATGTACTTTGCGGTGCTCTGGCGCCAAAAGTACTTACTTATATTACAAAAAAGGTGTTTAACATAAATTGTAGAAAATTGGGATGATGATAGGGTATGAAAAATAAAATCTAATAAGTCCGTAAGTTAGGTAATGAAAAAATATTAGACACGTATTTTTTTATTTTGTTATATGATAAAACAATACTTAGATAAAACGAATCAAAGTTTAGGAGTGGGGGGCTAAAACGTCATTTCTACGTATAAATTGTACATAGAAGTGACGTCACGCGACATTTCAAATCAATATATCGTCGGAAGTATTCGTTTCTGTAAGAAAATAAAAAATACGTGTCTAATGATTTAAAATAATCTACCAGACGGACATTAAAATAAAAATTAGGCATCTACGCTATTGTGAGCATTTTAATTTTGTAGTTAACGGTTTTCTTGTAAAATGGACAGGAAAAGAGATATTGTAAAACTAACTGTTTTTGGCCGCCATTTTGTCAACACGGCGGCGCGAACGGCGCAGTACAAAGGTGCAAAATGGAAATTAAAAAGAGCACAACAATCTAATCTCTTGTCTGTTGACAATTGCGGTCATAATGTGTTTATACCGGGAGACGGTGTTTCAATAGACAACAGAGTACCAAGCACGAATAATTATCGCATTCGTAACGTAATAGTATCGAGCGCGTTCGGCGCTCTGATTGGCCGGCTCAAGTGAACCAACCAATCAGAACGCTTAACTCGCTCGATACTGTTACGATACGAATGCGATAGTTATTCGTGCTTGGCCCTCAGGCTAAAAAAAATTGCCGGTTTCCAAAACT